CTTTCTCCTCCCCCCACGTCGGCTGGTGGATTTAGCAGGAATATGGCGTGCACAAGTCCGACTCCTCTACCATTCCGACCGAAACGAAGGCATCTCTAGCGCATCGCATACGTTTCCCCCTGATTTTTACAGCATGACACCCGCCCCTTACCAACCGCTCCTTGACCCTTTCCAAGGCACGTATGTCTCCTTATGCAGCAGCGCTAAATAGCGATACTGCCGCTAGGTCTCTCGGCCCTCCCTTAAACTCACCGCGAAGTCAGGCCCGAGTCTCGCCGCGCGGACGATGCGTCGCGACCCCCCGTGCTCAAGCAAGGCCCCGTTGTGAATCTGCCCCGGCCTCGGCGTCTGCTGCGTGGCGAACGAGGACGACGATGCCAAGTACGCCCCGCCGCCACCGCCGTTAGCCCCCACCGCCCCCCCTACCGCACCTTGCCCCCCGCCCCCCCCGCCGCCGCCGCCCCCGCTGCCGACGCGGTGCCCCCTGCCGCCCAGAACGGGGGCGGAGCCAAAGACGCGCGAGCTCGCCCTCGACCTCGGCGTCATCGTCGGCCCTATCGAAGAAGGCGGGGGAGGGGAAGAACGGTTGAGCCCGGAAGAGTCGCCGCCAACGCCCCCCCCGGAGGCCCTGCCATTGGGAACGGTTCCGCTTCTGACCCCTCCCCCCGCGACGGTGGCCGGAGGCCCTTGGCGACCACCGCTGCTGCCACCGCCGCCGTTCGACGCGATGCTGCTGTTGCTGCTGACGCGGCTCAGGCTCCCTCGGGGCTACGCGGATTTTGGGAACGTCGGCGGTTAGCGTCGGACGACAGGGCGGGTAGGCGGGCGGGACGGTTGGCGGTGGTGGCGGCGGGAGGGCGAAAGCAGGCTTGTCAGCGCTACTTAAACCGTTGTCGCACGTGTGTGTGCACAGGACAGTCGTAGCGCGCACGCTCGCCTCACCATGCACCCCCGCGATTGGAGGGACAATGGATAATGGATGGGATTACCTCTAAATCCTTGTGCCCAACAACAAAGCACGTGCTTGCACCAAATTATGACTGACAACCTTTTCAACAAGAGCATGCGGTGCAGGCTTGCCTTCGACGAACACACAGGCTCAGTGACTCAAAAATCAAATCCCTGTCAAAAAAAAAAAATGGAAGGGAAGGATACACATAAAGTGCGTGTGCATCGATCGAGCGTTTCGCACGGACACCCCAATACCTGCGACGGCCAAACAACACCATGTCCCCCCCACTCTCGCCCCCCACCAAGCGTCCTCTTCTCTCTCTCACCATGGTAGCGTCGAAGCCGATGCGGACGTAGTCTCTCCACTGCGCCCACCACTGCGCGTTGATCACCGCCCACGTGGTCCCTACCGGACCGTAAGGGAGCCCTTCACCCTCCCCGTCGTCCAGAGCAACGTCGTGTCTGTGCAGCAGCAGCAGCAGCAGCAGCAGCAGCAAGAAACGGCCAAACACAGTTAGACAGGGAGACAGGGAGGGAGACAGGGAGGGGCAGAGCGGGAGGGAGAGACAGGGAGAGAGAGATAGAGAAGGCGGGAGAAAGGGCGTGGACACTTTGATAGCCTCTAGATTGCTGCGGCGAGGAGCCTCCGGTCGTCGCCTCTGAGAGCTTTCTAATCGATCCGATTCGTCCGGGGGGTGGGACAAAAAGGAGGGAGGGGGACGCTCACAATCACGCCTGACGTCCGAAGCGTAACGACGCGTCTGGTTCCGTGCCGCCTCACGCACAAACCACAACCACACACAACCACACACCTTCTGAAAATCTCGTGGATGACCTCCCTCTCCTGCACGGCCTTGGCCGGCCGCATCCCGAACTCCGCCAGGCACGCGTACACCAGGTCCTTTACCAGCATCAGCCTGCCCCCGTGCACGCTCGACCACGCCATGAACCCCGCCAAGGTCAGCCCCCCCCCCCCCAAGACCTTTGGCCGGCCGGGCTGACTTGTCCCGC